GTGTAACTTTGTGGTTTGGACATTAAGAACCTGATATTTATTCTACTTATAATTTCCTTTAATAAATGATAAATGACCCGCACTTGTATAGCGCCTCTCAGAGTCAGGACACCAAGCGCTTTACACTACAGTGTATCATTCATCCATTCACACACACATTCACACACTGGTGGTGATGAGCTACGATGTAGCCACAGCTGCCCTGGGGCACGCTGACAGTGGCGGGCTGCTGAGCACAGGCGCCGCCGGTCCCTCCGACCACCACCAGCAGACAAGGTGGGTGAAGTGTCTTGCCCAAGGACACAACAGCAGAATTCTCTGTCCGGAGCCGGGATCGAACCTGCAACCTTCCGATTACTGGACAACCGCTCTAGCTGTGGAGCTACTGCTGCCCTGCAGTAGTAATAAAGGGGGGTTTAATGTGTTCACATTCTACCTGGTGTTAAATAATAATGGAGTTTGTGTCTCAGTAAGAGTGTGTAGGTCCAAAAGTATTTACCTGAGAGGTAATTCAAGGATATAGAACAAGTTGTTAGAACCCGAGCCCACTCCAGTAAGTCCTGAGCTAAGAAGGGCTACACAACCATTACCCTTCACTCCCGCCAGCGCTTGTGCTGCAAACGGGAAGAACGCCAACACAAAAGGGCGAATGTCGCCACTTAGCCTAGCAGCGTGGAACACACTTTGTGTGATAATTTGGTCCTATCGGTTATCATCACACACACTGGTAACATTACATCTCCGCATTCATCCATCCTCATGGGGAGAGAGGAGCTGCAGCAGTGGCTGCGCTCAGTACCTAATTGGTGGTTTAACCCCTGAAATCTGAGCGGGAGGGCATTAAGTCCCATTTTTAAAGTCTTTGGTACCCCGGTCTCCCAGTCCTAGGGCAGACACTCTACCACTAGGCCACGGAGAAGGTGATGGTTATGTAAACTAGGATAAGTCTCCCAGTTCATCTCCATACATACACTTGGATGCCCATGTAAACAAACTGTAAACAAGACTGTTTTGTGATTATTTCACCGTGACATCATTACATATTGTACCTTTAAGAAAAGACTCTTGTTTTCGTGAAAAGTCAAAGGGAAGAGAAGCAGTTTGTGACTGGGATTGTGTCATGTGCTGTTTAGGAAAAGTTGACATTTGACAGAATGAAGCAGTCAGGATTACTTTGACTGGATTAAAAAGCACTCTGTGCTTTTCTTTATCATTTAACGGTCACAAAATGCATGAGCACCGGGAACAGCTGAGCACGAATGTCCTTTTAAACAAAACACTAGAACAACTTTGGCCTTATATAGTATAACAGAACCAACAGCAGCTTGCTAATTAGCATTCTCAGTCAATTTACTTCCAAAAATAAACAAAAACATTTTATTTATTTCGGTTTTCTCACGAGGAATGTTGAACAATAATCATTCTCCTGACTAAAATGAGAATTTCCTCTTTATTCAATGCCATACATCAGATACTTATTTACATTCCACTTGCGGTTTTCATTCATAGACCATCTACCGCAGTAAGAACAGCACAAAGACATCCTCTAAACAGACCAGACTGGGCTATGTCATGTATCGCTGTTCATGGGTCGTGTCCCACCAGACGCCCGTCGTAAATGTCTAATTAACATGCATTTACATGGATGGGGGGTCGCGAACGCTCAATAAGTGGTTCTGTTCTCCGGTTTCCCGTATAAACAAGAACATGCAGGCAGTTTCCTGCTAAACAAACAAAATAAACATTAAATCTGTACTTTGATGAATTTATAATTGCAAGGATCACATTAAAGCTGGACAAACGGTGGAAGTTTAATGTGACTTTTGGCTCCACATGAGAAATGACACACACTTGTGTAGCGCCTTTCAGAGTCAGAGGACTCCAAAGTGCTTTACATTACTCTCTTTTCTCTTTTCACGTGTCTGAGCAGAACCTCCCTGAACGTCTACAGGTGGTTCAGAACGCCTGTGCTCGGCTTCTGACCAAGTCCTCCAAACACACCCACATCACCCCGCTTCTCCTCCAGCTTCACTGGCTGCCAGTCAACTCCAGGGTTCATTTCAAGGTCCTGGTTCTGGTCTATAGGGCCTTACATGGACAAGCACCATCTTACATTGGTGATCTTCTTAGTCCCTACACCCCCAGCAGGTCCCTGAGGTCCAGTGATCAAAGCCTACTGGTTGTGCAGCACCAGGCTAAAGGTCAAAGGTGACAGATCATCTGCTGCTGTGGCCCCCAGACTCTGGACCTCTCTCCCCCTGAGCCTGAGATCAGTGGACTCAGTGGTCTCCTTTAAAAAGCAGCTGAAGACTCACTTGTTCAAGCTGGCTTTTGTATGACCTTCTCACCTCTCTCTCTTTATTCTGCTCTCCCCACCTATCCCACCTTCCTCAGGATCCACTGATTCCCCTCTTTCCTGTTCACTCTCTCTCTTTCTTTACATTTTTTAATCACAATTGTCTATTTTTTGCTCATTTTAATATATTTGTAACCATTTTCTATTTTTTAAAATATTTTTACATTTTTTTTGTTTTTGTGAAGCGCCTCGTGATTTTTATCTTGAGAGGCGCTGTAGAAAAGATGTTTTCTTCTTCTTCAACATTACAGTGTATAATTCATCCATTCACACACACACACACACACACACACACACACACACACACACACACACACACACACACACACACACACACACACACACACCACACACACACACACACACACACACGGATGGTGATGAGCTATGATGTAGCCACAGCTGCCCTGGGGCGCACTGACAGAGGCGAGGCTACTGAGCACAGGCGCCACCGGTCCCTCCGACCACCACCAGCAGGCAAGGTGGGTTAAGTGTCTTGCTCAAGGACACAGCAGCAGAACCTCTGTCCGGAGCCGGGATCGAACCTGCAACCTTCCGATTACTGGACGACCCGCTCTAGCTGTTGAGCTACTGCTGCTGGTTAAGTGTTTTGCCCAAGGGTACAACAGCAGCATTCTCTGTTATTATTAAACATTTAAATACTTTTCTAATAAAGTTAAAACATGTAATTTTCTGTTTTCCCATGTCATTAAAGCACTCGGCTGTCTTCTAAAGTAATTCTTCGGTTTTTTGTTTAAATGAATGAAAAGGCAGCTCTTCTCTGCTTTTATTGCAGCACTGTCAGGTTTATGTGTTCCTCTCGTTGTTTATTGAGTTTAAAATAAAAAAGTTAGTTGGTGTCAAAAATGTTTTAAACTAACTAATCTACAAACTCTACAAATTCATTCAATTGATTCTAATTCTTAATACCTTATTTTACCGGCATTTTTATACTAGTTCACATCGTCTCCGACTTCATTAACTAACTGCTCTGGTCTACTCCACGCTGTCTTAAGTTTAATCATTAATAAGTGCAATTCTGCCACCCAAACAAGCAAATCATTGTCTTAAGGCAACAAGAGAACGGGATTATGCAAACGTCACACCTCTGATTGGCTAACAACAACGCCACTCTTCTGCTGCCTTTCATTCGCTCTTCTTTCTCAGGTAGAAAATACAATGTTGATGTTTTATCTCCACAAATAACACACGCCGTAAAGTGTTTTGCCATATATGGAGCCGCTAATGCTGATGTTAGCTTCTACTAGTCGAGACGTGCTATGCTCTCGCTTTCCCACTGGCGGTACCTGGCTAAGGTGGGCGGGGCTATGAATGCTACCTCTCCCTGTGACGTAAAAGAGACTGGCCCGATCACTATCACACCTATTTCCTTCTGCAGATAATGCAGGCGATGGAGGTTGAAGAAAACTTTTGCGTTATCATGCAACTCAGACTGATGATCATAATTCATACAGAGCAAGTGTTGTATTTGTCAGTGAGCAAGAACGTCGATCCCACGTAAACACAACCTGCTCTTGCCCTTGAGCTTTACTTATTTAGATGGAACCACAACAGGCTTCAGCCCACAAGTAGAGGGAGTAACGCACAATCAAGCAACACGTGATGATGGACCTAACTCCTGAAGGAATGCTAGCTCACGCACGCACAACCACAGACAGCTCCTCCTCTTTCATGACCTCACAACCCAACTGCTCTCCCATCACCTTGCGCACACACGCACGCACGCACGCACGCACACACACACACACACGCACGCACGCACGCACGCACGCACGCACGCACACACACACACACACACACACACACACTCACGCACGCACGCGCGCACGCACGCACACACACACACACGCACGCACGCACGCGCGCGCACGCACGCACGCACGCACGCACACACACACACACTCACACACACTCACACACACACTCACACGCACGCACACACACACACACACACACACACACTCACACACACACACACACACACATCACACGCACGCACACACACACACGCACGCACGCACGCACACACACACACACTCACACACACTCACACACACACTCACACGCACGCACACACACACACACACACACTCACACACACACACACACACACACTCACACACACACTCACACGCACGCACACACACACACACGCACGCACACACACACACACTCACACACACACACACGCGCGTGCGTCTACAGTGAGTCATATTTCCTGTGTGAGCTTATATGGCCCAGCTTCCTTTCGAGCCTGGTTGCCAGGGTGACAAGAGGAAGCAGGGACACATGACTGGCTGAGACTCGCTGATGAGTGAAGGCTGATTCATCCTCGGTTTTGGACGGATCCAAACACATGAAGCAAATCGTTCTCAAATCCCTGTTGAACCCAGATCTGCACAATGTGTACAAACCGCTGTGCCACGCTCGTACGCAGCTACCTTGTTGATGATGTGCTGCTGCTGGAATAGTTTGTGCTTTTCCAGGAACTGCTGTGTTGCTGCTGGACCACCAGCTGCTGCAGGGCCTGGGTCTGCCCACACGGCTGCTGGGGCAGAGGAGCCGACTGGGTTCTTCCCAGGGGGCGGTGGCCTCGAACCAGCTTGGAGACAGTTGGTGACGTCATGGGTAAGCCACCCAGACCCACTAACACAAACACAAATATAAACATATTCACATCGTCAGGCTGTGTCCCAGACTCCTAAATAACAGGATGGTCACATCAGTGAGACAGCGTTTACTCTTTAATCTGTTAGTTTGATCTCGTAAACCCAACCTAGGTTTAGTAGTAGGGTTTAGTGAATGTTGCTGCGGCGACTGACCCACTGGACCGTGGCTCTGCTCCAGTAGTACCATGTGCTGAAGGAGGGCGTTGTGACCAGCTGTGCCCCCCTCCAGGCCCTCCCTGTCCAGTGCTGAAGGTGCCAAGTATGAAGGCAGGTGGGAAGTAGGAAGAAAAGCAGGGGTCACTGGAATGCCCTGCTGTAACGCAGGCAGCGCCAGAGGACTCTCGCCATCTTGGTGTCCCGATACCACCTACAAACGGAGAGACCAGGACCAAAGGGAAGGAGATGCACACGAGTAGCAGACAGTCAGAGTGGGAGAACGGTCAAATGTGACTCGTGGGCAGCGAGTTGGAGAAAAATGGAAAGAGCCAAAAATCTGATTGACTCTACGCCCATCTCGCCAACACACAACCGAGTCTGTTTCACTAAAAGGATTTTTCGGTAGGAAACTGCACAATTACAGCTCGTAGACTCTTTATCTGAATCTCCAAACGGACTGATGCTTTGCAACAGTACACCGCATGAGATCTTTTTTAACGTTGGGAGCACTCACAGCGCCGGCAGGACCAGTGGCTGGCAGTCCCAGGGTGATGTTGGGCAGAGAAGGAGACGTGTAGAGTGACAGCTGGCTAACCGAACCGTCCCGCATAGCCAACCTCTGAAGGAGGGCGACCTGGACACAGAAAGGAGCCGCAAACGGCATCACTCCGGGCTCGCTGCAGAGCGCTTCCTCCCCGGACAGCTGCTATTTACCTCTCCTGGGCTGCTGGAGTTGGGGATCCCATTCTCACTGGGGATGTGGCTGGAGCTGTTGTTGGGAGAACTGGGACCTGAGCCTGGTGCACTGCTGCATGCAGAGTCTGTGTAACACACAGCACAAAATTAGATTAGGAGAAAAATAAATACAACCTTTCACTCGCTAGGGCTAAAGCGTCTAAACGATGGCCAAAACGCCCAGTGGGCTAAAATGTGATTTTTTATACTAAATTTAATCCACATTTAAAAATTCCCATGGCGTGACCCATTCATCTTGACATGGCACAAAACTGAATTAATTATTTAAGTAACATGATTGTTGTGACTTTTCCTTAAAGGACACAAACGTACTTAAAACAAATACAAGTAGCCCGTTAAGTGCAGGTCAGCTGCTTGGTGGAGAATATTTCATGTCTCATCGAAATCTGCACTAAAGTTTAACTTTAAATGCAATAAACTACAAAAAAATCTTTAAAATGGTCAAATTGAGTAGAAAGCTAAAGCTGCTATGGCTAATTTGGAAAACATGTTCTTAAAACATTTCTTTCATGCCTCTTAACAATGTTCTGGCACAGTTGAGCCATAAATATATTGTGGAAATAAATAAAATAAATTGTAATAATGAAGTGATTTTCTCGCATTTGTCTAAAAACCTCCACCAGTAACACGTTTTGGACCAAAAGCAACTATTAGACCGTCCATTTGTCGGTCTCGCTGAACTGCTGCACTTCCCTGGGTCCTCCACTCGTGTTCAGCAACAGAACACCAGTGGTGTGAGAGGTTCTCCGCTCAATACCATCACAGAAGCAGAAACAGCCGGCTGCTACCGCTTCAGCTTTAGGACAAACTACCAGAGGTCCCAAAGAGAAAACTCCATCATGTGAAGTCACGGACAACAAAAGACGTTTGACCTGGAAACCACTGACTGGTGTTGAGAACATTTCGTTTAATCCGCCATCGCGGGTTTCCAGTTCCGGCAGAAGCATCTTCAGCGAAGATACCCGAGGGGAGGGGTGACTGGGACCGAGCGTTTGCGTTCAAAACCTAGATTATTCTGTAGATTCGCTAAAGAAGCTTTGAACAATATAATATATTACCTTCATATTAGTATTAACCCATTCACTGCCAATGACGACTAAAGCCGTCGTTTGCATTTTTTAACTGTGTGGGCGTCGGACGAGCCCCCGCACCGTGAGAACAAACATCCCAGCTCTAAAGCCGATCTTCATCCGCGTACGTCACACGTCACGTGATCAGGAAGCAGAACATCCATGTGTTAGGAGATCGATTTGGGCCGCTGCTGTAAAAAAAGTGAGGCGCGAACCGGAGAAGCTTCTGCCGATCACAATTCAACAACGGATTATGAAAGAACGGATAACGCTCGAAACGCGCGGATTCTTCCTGATGTAAGAGGTGAGTCTCCTCTTTGTTTTGGTTGTTTTGGTGTCGACATCATGCTAGCGCGCAACGTTCTGTGACTCTTAAAAAAACAGTAAAAACGCTGCAAAACGCTGGCAGTGAAGGGCTTCTCTGATCAGGAAATAGCTGGCAGCGAACGAGTTAAGAGGAAGTTAAATCAGGCGCTCCCAGGTTGGGGTCAGGACCCCCCACTGTGGATCACCGTGAACTACACAGGGGGTCTCACGGTCATTTCCAGAAATAGAAATAAAAGTGAAATTTTTACTTTTATTAACTATTTTTATTTAAGCTACATTTAAAATCATCATGGTTAAAAAAACTCAACTAAACTGTCATTAATGCTCTCAGGTGAAAGTGTACAAATGTGAATAGGGTGAAAATGCCAGTGTCAGTAATCCAGCTCAGACTGAGAGACTATCTAAAGGCTCAGGAACCTGGTCACAAATGAAATGGCTCTCAGGGCCGGCTCGCTGAGGTGACCCGTAGGAGCCAGAGAGAGGGACAAAAATCATGCGTGGACACACGCACACACACACACACACACACACACACACGCACACGCACACGCACGCACACACACACACACACACAGTGAAACCAGGGCAGACACCAAGATATGGACGCATTCAACCACAGGACACTTAAAAACATACAGAAGGAGAGTTATGTTGACATCTCTTCTGGTGGCAGAAACAAACTAAATGGTGACGCACACTTTTAGGAGAGTTTATGGACTAAATTCCCGATATAATAACATTTTACCGTCCAAAGACAGGAGGAGGTTTAGAGAGAAGCTTAAACATCTGTACTGAAGACCAAATTAAAGTTATTAAAAGCCTCTATGAGCTCTGGGATGACGGGAAAACGATGGAAAATCTGCTGGGGAGATTTTTATTCTGACTTACTCTTACTGGACCCGTCACTCGTGAAAATTAAAAGGCTTTCAAACGTCTGGCGGCCTTCAATTATTTAGTTTCAAGGAAAGTTGGACGGGTCTGTTCTGAAAACAGAAAGCTGTGGTGGTGTTAAAGCAGCAGTCAGCTCCGACGAGCAGAGCGGTGTTCACATCAGCTGTGGGTGACGGCAAAGAAAACGGAGAAAATCCTCGCAGCGACTGCAAATCCGAGTGAGTCGCCATTCATCTGTGTCCTTGTTTAACTATTTATTATTATCATGATCTGAATCATAGCAGGACTACAAAGTGACTGTGAGTTTAAAATACATGAAGATGAATGCTTTTAAAACATCTTCTCTACTGAACAAATACGTAGTCACAAGGACTTACCAAGAGCCTCACAAACTGTTCGAGTCCAGGCTTCCTTCAGAGTCCGGGTCGCCCACAGTCATAATCTCTTTTGGATGTCGTGGTCGGAAATCCCAATAGAACATTTTATCAAGCCTCCTATTGGCCGAACAACCAAACACACAGCAAGACGGATCCATCTGCTTCACTGACCGCCATCTTACATTGGTGATCTTCTTAGTCCCTGCACCCCCAGCAGGTCCCTGAGGTCCAGTGACCAAAGCCTACTGGTTGTGCAGCACCAGGCTAAAGGTCAAAGGTGACAGATCATTTGCTGCTGTGGCCCCCAGACTCTGGACCTCTCTCCCCCTGAGCCTGAGATCAGTGGACTCAGTGGTCTCCTTTAAAAAGCAGCTGAAGACTCACCTGTTCAAGCTGGCTTTTGTATGACCTTCTTCACCTCTCTCTCTTTATTCTGCTCTCCCCACCTATTCCACCTTCCTCAGGATCCACTGGTTTCCCTCTTTCCTGTTCATCTCTCTCTTTCTTTACATTTTTAATCACAATTGAAGATCCTCCTAGAGAAAGATCCCCCCCCCCCCCCCCCCCCCCCCCAGGAAAAAACATGCTCGCTGCTAATCTGAGGCCTGCTAGTCCGCTTGATTGATCGCTGCAGTTCATCTCCGTCCTCAGTCTCCATCAGAGTTATTAAAGAAACAAAACGAGTTGAGTTTACGTCCTCGTCTGGTAGAGCAGCCGACCACGCAGCAAGCTAAACCATTTTACTGTCAAACCAACTCAATAAAAGTGATAAAAGACTACAAACTGGCTTGTTTCGACTAGCTTCACTGGGGTTTCTACGGGTGTAAACGGTCTTTTTGCCGTCCATCATGGCGAAGGCGGCGCTGTCATGAGTGGCGTGACGTCACATGCAAAGGGTCAATACTGTAGATTAGTATTCTGTTTACACAGGTTTGTACGATATCTCGTGATGAATTCATTTAAGAAACAAAGAACGTGAGGAACCGTTTGAGAGCCAGAGTTCCCATCTCCATCAGGAACCCTCCGCAGGGTTCATCAGCTGACTAGCGTGACACTTTGAGTCTAAAACATGGAAACTATTCACGATAATCTGTCGAGATTTGAGTTTGGGTTTCCACAATAATCCCAATAATAAGAAATAAAGGCTGAGATATCTGGCTTTCCAAGGGATGAGTCCGGCTCACAGATTAGTTTCCTATTTAAGCTGAATTACCGACATCGTTGGGCTTTTGCACCGTATTCTAATTTCTCCAAATTCACCTGCAGAAGTTTAAATGAGCGGACGCATTTTTCTTTATTCCCTGAATTATTTAGCTTTTTAAACATGAGTGTGTAAAATCAGAGATATCTGGGCTTGCATGTTTTATTTTGTGGGTCTGAGGCTAAAAGGGTTGGAACCACTGATTTAGATTGCATCATAGCCACCGCTGTACATCACATTACACACATTAACTAATAGAATAAAGCTCTAGTAGTAAAAAATGAGGGCGGATTAACAAAAATTCACTCTGCAGCAGCCGAAATCAAGTCCTAGTTTTCAAAGCTTGATCTGGAAGAAGCCACCACGCTCCTTCGTAAGGCGTGAGGGAACATCCCCTCGTGGTGACGTTCGCTCACCAGCTACATCCAGGGGTCGCTTCTTGGCAGTGCTGATGGGTCCGTCCTTCCTGCGGAGAAGTGGGCTGCTCCGGCGCTCCGTCACCTTCTGTTTTAGCCGGGAGCGAAGCTTCAGGTTGGGTTCGGACGCTGATGAGGCCCAAAAGAAGAGCAAAGAACACGTTTACGTTTACTTCAGGAAGCAAAAACAAGACATTTCATGTGCAACTCAAACACTCTGATTCTAAAAATATGATCATCACCATGGAATGCGTGGTGGAAATGTAGAGCCTCTCTGAGCTGCGGCTGGTTAGCGGTTAGGGTGATGGATTGGCGGGTTGCACAAGTGGGAGCTTGTTTGTTAGCATCTAGCGGTGCTAATGACCGCTGTGGATGTGCGGGCCAGCAGGTTCAGAAGCAGAGGTTAACCATCTTCCTGTGGCAGTGGGAAGCACTGCAACAATAGGGGAGGAAGCCAACTGGCACCTTTCTTGACCCTGTGCTTAATGACGCTGCCTCCATACCTTACTAATGAACCGTTGGTTTCCACATTTAATCTCTTATTATTGTTACATGTGTGCATATTTCCTAATTATTGTTCAGATTCTTAGTCTAAGCCTGCAGACCGACATTCTGGATGTGCAGATACGCTGGACGCACAGAAGGCAGGAGAGATAAGCACAGAGTACGCTCTGGGAGTCGTGTCGGGACAGGGCACGGCCTTCTCTGGACAAATGTTGTGGTGTCTCTGCCAGACGATGCCAAACACGAGCACTTTTATCCCCTCCTGCTCGGGTTTCCCTCCACTCAGTCAGCTAAAAGCTGGATGCATGACCCGCGGCTGACCCAGTGCTCGTCCCATGACCTCGTATCAAGCGGACTGTGCTACGTTCATTAGCCTCGAGCAGGAGGTGGGGCATTTTGGTACAGCCGAGTGGAAGCAATTGATTCTTTGTGTACAGTAGTGATTTATTCTGTATTAGAAGAATTATTCTGGGTCATTAGAATCAAAGAGAAGTTTTGATGAACTTCAGAGTGCCGCAAACTCTCATTATACCTTCACGAGAGGTGATGAGAACACCTACTGTGATCGCATCTACTTTTTCAGATGCACTCTCGATTTCAGGCCGAACAATGCAGCTGGACTCATGCAACATAATTATTTTGTTTTTACAAAAAAGGGCTTCCTCTAAGCGGAGTGCACTCTTCCAGAGTCTTTGTTGGGAGGGATGGGTCGGTCGGGGTAAAACTAGGCGCTGTGGGAGACGCATCATGCTAAAGTTTCATCTGATCTGGTGGCAATAGTTTTCATTAGTGCCAGGGTCACAATCAATTCACAAAAGTTCAATTCAGTTGATTTAAAAGGCGCCAGATCACAACAAGAGTCGTCTGAAGGCGCTTCACTGAGCAAGCGTTCCAACTGAATCTACCTATTAGTGACTGATTTGAGTTCATTATGCCCATTAGTGAAAAGTTTCCTATGAAAGAAAACCCAGCAAATAGCATCGAGTCACTGACTTGTGTCAGAGTCTTTATGGCATTCCTTATACTAAGCAAGCATGTAGCGACAGTGGAGAGGAAAACTCCCCTTAGGGGTTTGAAGATTTGTGAACCATACAAATTCTGCATAAAGCAGATCACATGATAGACGTCTGCGGTTCTTCCACTGATTTCCCTCTTTCCTATTCTCTTTCTTAACATTTTTTAATCACAATTGTCTATTTTTTGCTCATTTGAAATATATTTTAACAATTTTCTAAATTCTTTTTTATATTTTTATGTTTATTGTTTTTGTGAAGCGCCTCGTGATTTTTATCTTGAGAGGCGCTATAGAAATGATACTTTCTTCTAGGGCTGCTCAATTAATCGAATTTTAATCCCGATTACGATCTGAGTTTTGAACGATTATAAAAAACAAAACAAGCCGATTATTTGCTCCTCCCACTTGCGCTGCCCTGAGTTGCAAATGAAGCGCTCCTCTCACAGTGTTGCCAACTTGGCGACTTTGACGCTATTTCCAACAGCTTTTCAGAACCCCCTTCTTGACATTTTAAATGTTAAAAGTACCTAGCGAACATCTCAGAAACATCTCTGGTAACCCTTAGCTACTTTCTGGATAACTGTCGTCGACGTTTCCTGCAGGTTAGCTAAACACTCCGCCTGCGCTCCGGACCGTTCTTCAGGACATTAGGAAAGGGAATGATGTAGTAATGTGTCAATCGCTAAAGAAACAGCTCTCAGAGCCGGTTTCCTGTTGGATTAACCAGAGTGAGTGACACACACACCTTACCTGCGGACTCCTGAGCCGCTAAAAACGGCTAAATGTGCGCGTGCGGCGCGCTAAACACACGTGCAGCTTGCCCCTGATTGCTGTGAGACCGGGTGAGGGGTGGGGGGTGCAGCTGTGGTTGGGACAATTATTACATTAACTGATGGACTTGTAAATAAATAGTTTATAAATAAGGTAGAAATAAGTTCCTCACGCTGATAAATAATAACTAATCTCTCTGAGGACACGGTGCTAGTGCACGCTCCTACAGCACCTTGACACGACTACATAAATGTTATGCAACATTAGTGAACATCAATTTATTTGCGTTTATTTGTTATAAATGCCACTGTATAATTCTTGCTGTCAGTATTAGCAAGATATTGGTATTTGGGTCTGTACTGGTTAGACTTACATGAGTTACACCAAGCTCTATAGCCCTTGGGTCATAAACTATGAGCTATAAGTATATTGGTCTTTTTATACTGGGAATCAGGAGTTCTTTTAGTGATCATCTTGTTTCTTATTGTTGTCCTGATTGTGCCCTGAGCAATTTTATGACTGAAAAACAACAAATAAAATCAACATAAATTGAAAAATTGTCCTAAATAATCGAGATCTCAATTTCAGTCACAATAATCGTGATTATTATTTTGCCATAATCGAGCAGCCCTACTTTCTTCTTCTTCTTCTTCTTATTTACCAGCAGCCTAAGCAGGGAGGCCCAGACTTCCCTCTCCCCAGCCACTTGGGCCAGCTCCTCCGGGAGAATCCAAGGCGTTCCCTGGCCAGACGAGAAACATAGTCCCTCCACCCGTGTCCTGGGTCTTCCTTTAAGTCTCCTCCTGGTTGGACGTGCATGAAATACCTCACCAGGAACGCATCCAGGAGGCATCCTGACCAGATGCCCGAGCCCACCTCAATTGGCTCCTCTCGATGTGGAGGAGCAGCAGATCTATTCAGAGCCCCTCCCGGATGACTAAGCTTCTCACCCTATCTCTAAGGGAGAGCCCACACACCCTGCAGAGAAAACTCATTTCTGCCGCTTGTATCCGTGATCTCGTTCTTTCGGTCACTACCCAAAGCTCGTGACCATAGGTGAGGGTAGGAACGTAGATGGACCGGTAACTCGAGAGCTTCTCCTTCTGACTCAGCTCTCTCTTCACCACGACAGACCGGTACAACGCCCGCATCACTGCAGATGCAGCACCAGTCCGCCTATCCATCTTATGCTCCAGTTTTCCCTCACTCGTGAACAAGACCCCGAGATGCTTCAACTCCTACCTTTGAGGCAGGACCTCATCCCTGACCCGGAGAAGATATTCTACCCTTTTCCGACTCAAGCAGGCGCGCAGTAGGGTGGGGGACAGGGGGATCTGCCCCCCCCCCCAGATTCAGATCGACCCCGATCCGTCCCCCGCACTAAGGCCAGAAAGAAAACCAAATCGGAGGTTATGCGCTTGAAGCTCCTGTTTCCAATTACATTAAATGTGTCAGCGCGCGCCGGTGAATGAAGCGGAGGTAAGGATCCATGTTTAAGTGAAACATGTTTGCATAAAGCATGAGGTTTTGTTAGTAACTGATTGGGAGAATAACAAATGACTGACTTGGATAGTGTTGATCAGCAGTGCTTCGTTGCCAGCGCTCCACTGCACAATGGCTTCTAACACGTATATAAATGCTAGTTTTTACGTAAACCGTTGGATGAAATTACACAAACTGAGCTCTAGTTAAGGCTCTTGCAATAGTTTGTGTGTGTGTACGTGTTTGGGGGAGGGTACGTTGGAACTTTGTCCCCCCCAGTTTGAAAATCCTATCTGCGCCAGGGACTCAAGACCATGGTCTCAAATTTAGAGGACCTGATTCTCATCCCAGCTACAAACCACTCGAGCAAAAGCCGGAAATCAAGTTCTGATGAAGCCAACAAGACCACGCTGTCTGCAAAAAGCAGCGACTCGGTCCCCAACATGGATCCCTTCAAAGTGAAAATCTTTTAGGCTAAGAAACGTTTCATTTTCATCATCAGGAAATAAATGATGATTTGCTCCTCATCGAGTCTCCAAATGAGATCAATCTGAATTCAGATTGAATTTGTTCATGCACAGATGCAAAACAAGCCCAAATCATCATCACTCCACCCGCTGTGCCTAAAGGATTTCTGCTGACACCATTTGGTTCTCTCCAACCATGCCGCTGTGCATTATGGGTAAAGCTATCATCATAAACAGTGCTGACACGCTCATTTCAGAGGGAACACTTTCTCCTCCAACCTCTTCAAACAAGCCAAACTTCAGTCTCCTTCTAATCATTCTGTGAACTTTGTGAACATGAACTTTAACCTCTGACCTGTCTGAGAAAACACCTCAGTGCAATTATTCGGAGCATTGCAGTCTGACCCCAGGGTGACCTTGATGGGACGTCCACTGCTGGGAACATTGACAGACACCTTCATTGTTTTCCACTTGGATTCAGTCTTCCTCTCTGCTGCACGATGGACTCCAGGTTGTTTGGAAATGACCTTTTGACCTTTGCCAGATTGATGGGCCGCAACAATCGCTTCTCTGATTTATTCGGACGTCTTGTGTTTACACACCAATGGAAACTCTCTAAACTCAACGTTTCTTATATTCAGAAACGCATTCGTAATCAGGTTAGAGCTGAGAGTTTATAGGGAGGGAGGAAGGTCCGCTAAAAGGAGAGACTGAAATGAGAAGGTCAGTGAAGGAGACTGAAACGGTCGCCATGGGTGTTGACCTCAGGACAAATTGACTTTCAAGGGTGTTAATGCCGACTGGGCAAAAGCACCACCAGTCTGCACACGTGCAAACGTGCTCGCTGCAGAGAGCCCAGACTGGTTTTACTGCTGATGCTGGCATTTCAC